GCAATATTCGTAATGAGCACCCCCAAATACCTCGAAAACGATACCCAACTTGCCATTATTTGAAAAATCGTGCCCGCCATCTTGGATTTACAAATAGTGCCATATTCACATTGAGCATCCCCAAATACCTCGAAAATGATACCCACATAGCATTTTTTTGAAAAAATCGTGCCCGCCATCTTGGATTTAGAAATGAGTGCCATATTCGTAATGAGCACCCCCAAGTACCTCGAAAATGATACCCATATTGCATTTATTTGAAAACTCGTGTCCGCCATCTTGGATTTAGAAATGAGTGCCATATTCGTAATGAGCATCCCCAAATACCTCGAAAATGATACCCATATTGCATTTTTTTGAAAAATCGTGTCCGCCATCTTGAATTTAGAAATGAGTGCCATATTCGTAATAAGCATCCCCAAATACCTCGAAAAGGATACCCATATAGCATATTTTGAACAATCGTGTCCGCCATCTTGGATTTAGAAATGAGTGTCATATTCGTAATGAGCATCCCCAAATACCTCGAAAAGGATACCCATATAGCATATTTTGAAAAATCGTGTCCGCCATCTTGGATTTAGAAATGAGTGCCATATTCGTAATGAGCATCCCCAAATACCTCGAAAAGGATACCCATATAGCATATTTTGAAAAATCGTGTCCGCCATCTTGGATTTACAAATAAGTGCTATATTCGTTTTTCATCGACAAAACCGAGCATATCTGTAGGCACCTGATCGACATTGTCGATCGACAAAATCGAGCACATCTGTAGGCACCTGATCGACAATGTCGGGCAAATCTGTAGGCACCTTTAACTTAATGATGAGTTAAGCAAGATACAATTTCCCCACTTTTGAGGGAAATGTTATTCCATGGCATCATTATTTGTATATTTGTGTGCGTGCCGACGAGCGTAGTTACAAGTTGCTTACGCCTACATGAATTTGGTTTTTGCCTCACTTGTGACAGTTCGTTTGATATGAAACTATCATTCTATGCGTTATTATTCTAAGGTTTTATATGAATAAATAAAATAAAAATCATGTCAATCCGTCGCTCCGTTTCGAAATGAAAGTAGACACAAACAAACAAATAAAAAGACAACAGACACAGTTTAGTATTCCTAGATAGGTAATTGTCGTAGATAATAAACCGCGGGCAATCATGTTTTAACAAGTTTTTTGTTAAATAACCCGATTTGTGCATTCCTGTATCAATCAGCTGGTTCATTGACTAAACATAAACTGCCTCCGTGGCCGAACGGTTACCATGCCGGACTGCCACGCAGAGGTCCCAGGTTCGATTCCTGGGCCGGGAGAAATATTTGTATGGCCTATATTTATTTCTCACATGAATTTGGGTGTAATTTGTGGCTGTCTACGTGTGTGTCCATGGCACCCGCGACACAGGGTTTCCCTAGTGCGGGCTATGTTGAGTGTGTATGTTATTATTATTATAGAATACTTGTTCTTACTTGTTGAGTACGATTGAGCATCGAATGAGATAAACGAGTTTATGCATGTTTGTCTTATTCCTGTCAGTGCGTGCTGCTTATGCAGTCCTATATAAACAACGTAATATTTATTTTATTTTCATTTGCGGTTTCGCGCGTATTAGATAAGCAGTACTTAAGTTCAACACTTACTTAGGTATTTCTCAAAACAAAAAACAATGTCAGAAGTAAAAAAGAAGAGACGGCAATACTGTGCGGAATATATTAAATTCGGATTCATTGAAAATCCCACAAACCTATCGTCGCCTTTGTGCCTTCTATGTCTAAAAACATTTTTGAATGAAGCAATGAGATACCAGTATATTTTGAACTTAGAAATACCAGACTGGGTGTTGGTTCCGTTTTCAAATGTCAACACAGCAATATCACCTCAGCTGGAAGAGGAACTTATAGAATTTACATCGAACGAGGAAATAAAAATCTAGTTCAAAAATGGCTACCAAGAATTTTGGCTACAAAAACCGATCCCGCAATTGTACCCTGGATTGTGGTTAATCGTTCAACGATTCTTGATAGCATTCCCATCGTCATATTTATGTGAACGTGGTTTTAGTGCTGTGACAACGCTGCTTACTAAAAAGAGAAATCGTTTGCATGTTAGCGAACGTGGTGACTTGAGTAAATTGGAACCTGATATCAACAAACTTATTAAACAGCATCGGATTCATCCTTCACATTAGTTTTTATATTAGAATTGATTATGTTTGTTTTATTTTGAATAAAAGATACTCTGTCTGAATACTATAAAGTTGCGTTTCAATAATCATTCTCATTGGCAGGTGTAGCCCGTAAGAGTTAACTTGAGACTTGAGCTCCGTTGTGTACTACCTACTGCGCTCAAGTCTCAACTTAACTCTTGCGGGTTATAGTAAGTCTCGTTTAGAATGAATGTTTAATCTCCGCTAATATAGCTCACAATAATTAATTTAATTTGAAGTTATAGTGGTTTTTAAGTAGGTGAAAAAATGGGGGCGCTAAAAAATAATTTATTCTCAAAGTGGGCAGTAGACAAAATAAGTTTGGGATCCCCTGTAGTAGACTGTAGTTTGCCATGTTGTCGCAGTTTGAAGCAGTCGATACTAGCTGCTTCAAGCTGCCCGTGTATGGCCGCCTCAAGGTGCTCAAAAGATGCTAATGCTGTACAAGAAAGGAATGGTACGTCGTGCGGGAGGCTCCTTTCGTGTCAGGGGGGTCTACTCTCGATCTCCGTCCGAAACAATTACTGCCAAATAAGCAATACTTGACCAAATGAAAAGACGCGTGATGCGAATGAAGCTTCATACTTGATATTTAATAATAATAATGTATTTCAAAACCATAATGTACATAATAAGATGTTACAAATATAGTGAGACCAGTATTATGGGCCCTGTCGGGCACGCAACATAGGAGCTAGGAGAGGGGAAGCGCAATTTTATAGTAGTATTTTATATATAGTAAGCATTCTATTGTTATTTATCATAGGTACTATATACTATATTATATGGTTATAAAAGTTAATTTAAAAACAACCTTAATATTTATCATCATTTTGCGTGGCCTCTGAATGTATTATCTATTAAATATTCGTTAATAGTGTAATACCATTTTTCGGATAAAAATAGTTTTAATTTTTTTATGAAAATGTCATTGTTTTCATTTTTTATATTTTCAGGTACTTTATTATAAATTTTAATAGAAGAACTGCAGGTACTAGAGGAGTTAATTTTTAATCGTGAAGTCGGCAATACTTGTCTTTTAATTTTGTCGAATATTACTTATTTTACAGTAATTGTTTCGGACGGATGTCTGACGGAGGTCGAGAGTAGACCCCCAGGTGCCAAAGTAGCCAAACACTGAATTTTCCAATAAAAAGTTGTGTATAACAAAAATAGCTTTATTACAAAATATTGTTTCACAATGGTTACTTCAATTTTCGCTTAAAATAAACAACAAAAACTGCTTATAACAAAGCTTTCACACTAGCCAACACCGAATCGTATCCTACACATAACGACACATAAACAAGCATTCAAACAAGCTCAATATTTTCAATAAAAAATAACTCATTCACACATTACAATATCAAAATTCAAAACTTTTAAATGATACGTGATCAATTACGGTCATTCTCGGACTAGTGTTCGCTACCTAATTTCCGTGGCAATATTTATTATTTAAATATTCGATATTTTTATCGTGCAATGTCATTTAACATTCGAGTATTGTATCGTGAAATATTATTTAATAATTACACAATAATATACTTAAATATTGAAATAATAAAAATTGCCACGGAAATTAGGTAGTGACACCAGTCCGAGAACGAACGTTTGGCGTTCACTCGGCGTTACGTAGACTAACCACCCAAACTCCCGTAATATAATTCAATACATCTGCCACGAGTACCAAGACGACATCTCCTACGTAAAGTGTCGTATGTCGAAATTGCCAAGTTTACAGGGAAGCATTTTAAAGTTCTGAATTCACTGAAACGAGCATAACACGACAAAGCTAATCTAATAGATCATCTAACCGATATGTAGGATTTTACAATACTCTGTGTGAGTAACCGTTTGCCGAATAAAACTGAAAAATGCTAAAGTCGCCTGTTATGTTCCTTTCAGTGGATTCAAAACTTTAAAACACTTCCCTGTAAACTTGGCAATTTCGACATACGATACTTTACGTAGGAGGGGTCGAAGAGTTTAATGTCGATTCGTCGCTAGCGCTCAAGTATATTTTCATAAACAATTTTAGTTCATTTTTATGACCGCTACGGGCGCTGCACAATTTGCCATACAAAATTTACTAATATTTGACATACTCTTTAGCCACTATCGACGCAATAAACTGCTGGTAGTGGTACCGTGGGGAAATACACTAGAAAAATATTAGTATGACCACTTAAATTGCCTTATGAACAATACACTAAGGCTTACATTGGCACGGAACAGAATGGAAGCGACCTTTTGTAACCATAGCACAACGATTCTATCAATACAAACTATAGTATGAACCATAATTAGATGTTCAAAATGTAAACAAACAAACGTCATAAGTGTGAATACAGGTGTGCTAAACCTTCTATTTTTAACGGAATTGGAAAAGGAGTAGGTTATTATATTCTACGATTTTAATTTTTGATTTCAAAATATTAACAATGAGCAAAAACTTCAACAACAAAACACAATAATCTAACAAACTCACTACGGAAACATGAAAACATTAGAGTTCGGCAAACCAAGCACGAATGAAATCTATGACACGATATAATGGCAGCACAAAAAATGTTTTTGTTCCCGATTGTGGTAAGCCGGATTTGCATTTGTCTGACGTGTCATGTCGTGACATGTCATGTCGTGACGGGTCAGAACGGTATTGGTTTCATGCACACAGCACTAGCCGTCACGTCAGATCGCGACACACTAATACAAAGGTTACCATTCTGACGCGTCACGACACGACACGTCAGACAAATGTAAATCCGACTTTACCAGTGTCATAAAATATTTACGACCTAAAACAAACTTCTTTATTATTATCATTTCATTAAATGAAATTAAGTAAAAATATATATTTAAAAATGTGAATTGTTCCAAGTTTTAACAGATTACAGCTTCAAAAGAATTCTAAACGATTATTATCGTCAAAAATAGAAACTACCATTCAAAATGTATTTTTTGCTCGGTTAACCCCTTCAGATATATAATTATGATGCATACTATAGATACGAGTCAAAAAACAGGTCGCGCGTCTTTCGGAGAATTCTCGTGCAGACATAATATTCTTTATGCTATGTACAATTTCATTACAAAAATTCACTTCCATTCCAGAGCCTAATATCCTGGAGGCTCTGAATTAAATAACTAAACGAGATAGAACTACACGAGGGAATCAAAACATTATACGGAGAACATTACCCGTCTCACTCTAGTGTATTTCTCACACTCTCTAGACCCGAGTTTCAAAACCAAGTCAGGCATTCAAAGAACCATTGAGCAAGTTACAATACATTTAGATGTAAATAACGTAAATAAATATCACAATCCGGTACTGCAATTACGAATAGACATAAAAACGGTAAAAAATGTATGTATCCCTAACTACACTAACTGGATTGTGCGTAGAATACGACTCGATATTATCAAGTAAACCCGTGATTTTCATTTCACATTATATAAACATTTAATACATCACACTTGAACTGTATTTGTTAGCATCACATATTGGTTTTTACAACCAAAATAATTTTGAATATTTCGATAAAAACCAGCCGCTGTTTTTCTCAGAAGTCCTAGCAATACACGACAACAATGTCAAACAAATTTCAAAAAGACAACTAAGCAGTTTGTCAACACTATTATCGCGTATTACTGTTGACTAGTTTTGTTTTAGAGAGGCCGCAAAAACAGCAAAATTGAATTTAAAAAAAAAACAAGTCACATTCATACATTAAGAGACGTAATTTAGAATTGCAGTTACAAAAAAGTTTTTGGCAAATGTTACACAATTTTTTTTAAATCAACACTGTATAGCCATATAAACTCGAACAGTTTTTGAACAGTTAAAAATTCCCATACTTAAATTCTTGGTGATATTATTTTCTTATTTTGCACCAAAAATATATAAAACAGGAGCAGGCTGGGCCACGATCTGTATATTTAAAACGTAAAATTTTTTCATCCACATCAAAGAACGAGAATGAAACTTCGACTTAATTGCACCGTTAATATTAATTATATTATGGCGTTTGGAGCACAGCCAGTGTTGACTTAATATTTTTAAAGATAGGTGAATTGAGTCGTAGTTTCTCAGTTGTAGTTCTTTATTTGGTGCCTCGCGTTAAGTGCATCCAGATTCCTCGAGTGGGTGCGGTCACTGCGGCGCAGGAGGCTGCTTCATTTGCTTCTGCTGCTCTAGAAGACGCTCGAGGGGAGATGGCCCTGGTCCTGACCACAAGGACTGGAAACCCAACGATGTATATTAAGTAACTAAAGTTAGGTAGTGTTTTCTTTATATATCTATATTATTTAAATGATATAGTAAATTATATAGCCAACAATTATCTATATTTATTTGAATTATTTTTCTTTGTACATCTATACTTACCATATAAATGTTCTTCTACATTCTTTCTATTAAGGAATAGGTACGACTGTACTTGAGAGAATTTTTGGAATGGTCACTTACAAAGAAGAGGGCTTTTATTGTAGAGTTACTCTGGATACATACCTGTTGCGTAGTGCGTTGAGTCGAGTTCCAGGCGGAAGTGTCGGGCGCCCCGCTGAATAACGAGTACGTATTGCTTGGTGCTTCTTGAATGCCGCTCGCCTCGCCGTTCTAAATAACATACATATGACGTAAGTAACGTAACATATTATTTTACAATTTAAAAAGCCTCCGATACAAAACAGCGTACTTTCAGTAGTGGTAGAGCGCCTTGTGAGCATTACTGCGTTCCGGTTTTGAAGGGTGAGGGAAGCTGGTGAATTTACTGGAACATGACACTTATCTCAAGGTGACGGGCGCAGTTGATATGCCCCTTAAATCTTAATGTTTTAAAGCTCTGAGTGGCACTGCGTTGTTAGGAACAGGCGTGTCGCTTACCATCAGGCGCATGACTTATTCGTGCCGTCACTTAATATTATTAATTAAAAATATAAGAAACATGGGACATCCCTTACGCTTTGTACAGGCTAAAGGCCCATTTAGATGGAGGAGTTTCTCGTCTCGAAGATACGATTATCGAAAGAATATAAAAAAACTTTTCTCGTCTAAACCCCATCCCAACGCTCAACGCCAGTCTATCTCGAAAATTAATCACACTTAAAAGGCATGAGCTTCGCACTCTAACTGCCCTAACGGCCATGGTCCATACACTAAACATCTCTTCAATTTAGGTAACACAGACAGTCCTCTACACTGAGCGTGCATGGAGGGGGAGGAAACGTCTGTGCACATCCTACTACAGAGCTCCGGCGTGGCCAACTATAGGGCTCTCCGATGTCTTCAGCAAACCGAGGACGTTGCTGAAATATATGGAGGAGTTTGGGTGATACGAGTAGGAACCTGCACCCGCCACACGCAAAATAGACGCCTGGACGTCGAATTGCGGACACCAGTCCGTTACACCAGGTACCAGAGCAACGGAGTCCACTCTGGAGTAGTATCCAAAACTCCCAGACTAGAACCAATTTAGAAAACGTTTCCTCCAAATTAATCTCACCGGGAATCGAACCCGGGACCTTCTTACCGAGCGCCCACGTTGCAAACCATTGAGCCACCGAGGTCGTTACAAAAGCTAGGAGTGAAGGGCGGAGTTTTCTGTAGATAGGGGTTGTCGCTATAAAGTTGTCAAAATAGACATACCTGATCCAAGTTCTTGATTATATCCACATCCGTAGCCAACGGGTCATTGAAGCTCATATTCAAATTCCTTTGTTGCATGTCCAGTATATTAGCTCCGAATCCCAGTCCAGACATGTCCATAAGATCTTTTCCCTGGTACCCCATTTGAGGCTTATCCATCATCTTCATTTGCATAGGTTGGTATCCTAGCTTGTTATTACTAAATTGAGGGTACATCGAAGAATCGTAGCCAACTGCAGGTGCGTAGTTACCGAAATTGTTCAATGACGAATTGAAAGTGGGTGACGTCACTAAATTCTGCAAGGTCTGCATCTGCGGTTGCCCGATTGTCGATTGTAAGAAGTTTGGTTGAGTCATCAAGTTTTGAGGTTTGTCGCCTATACTTTGATTTGTTGACATTTGGTTGAACGACGGCATGGTTTGATAAGGATTCGCCATATTTGATGCAAGATGTGGTGAGTAAAAGTTCGGTTGTAAATTCATTGGTGGAGCAGAGTAGTTGAAGTTAGGTGGTGGGTTTTCCGGCTTCCACCAAGGATTGGCTTGAGGATAACTTTCGTGCATCTGTCCAGGGACAGGGTTCCAAGGACGCTGTTGCTGGTGGTTAAAAGGAGTCGCTTTTAAGTTTTCTTCCCTGAATTTGTTATCGTTAAACTGGTTATCAGGAGGATTTTGCCAGTAGCGGTACTGATTGGCGAATCGTGGCGGCAGATCACTTAAGAAGTTCTTCTTGTCGCCTGTAACTTGGTACTTATGGTTTCCGAACTTGTGAGGATCTTGGAATAACTCATGCCTCGAGTTCTGCTTCTGTAACGCAGCAGTTCTAACATCGATTTCTTTAGGATTGACGACTGGGAGTCTTATCCCTTGGTTGTTGGTATGCTGTTGATACACGACAGGACTGTAGCTCAAGCCTGGATTCTGAACTCCGTAAGTTTTCGGGAAGTTCATTCTCGGAACTTCAAACGTGGGTGGGGTTATGTTGGCACCCCAGTTCGGCGATGGTGGGTGGTCAATGCGTTTCTGAAAGCTCTGTTGGGAATTCTGACTGGATTGATTTGGCTTAATTTCCTTCTTCTTCTCATCTTCTTTCTTGGGTTCAGGATCCGTGTTGACCAAGTGCGGGTATCCAGCAGACTTGTCTTTTAACGAGAGTATTCCGCCCGTCTTTCTGCCGATGGGGAGGTTAGCGAGGGACTTGATAGCTTTGGGTTGTATCACTTTTAGTTTGTCATCTTTGACGTCGGTGTCGGGGTTCGAATCTGGTGTTGGTGGTGGTGTTACGAATTTCACCTGTAAGACAATGAGAAAACGAATTAAAAATGGGTATTTTCCTGGAGCACACGTCTATTGCTTATTCCTCAATATCACATGCGGTGTTAAGTGGTTCACCTGTTTGTTGGTCTCTTCCTGCTTCCGCATGATGGCGGCCATTGCAATGTTGACGCGCGGTTTGCGAATTTCTTTCTTGTCCTCACCTTTGTCTTCATTGCATTCAATTTCCTGTACAGATAATTAAATTATACCAGTTAAGATGTCAATTCGCTGTGCTGTCCTGTCACTTTGAAATTAAATCGTATATGAATGACTTTTGGAGACAAATTATTAATATAACGCAATTTTTAAGATAATACTAAGTCAGTTGTCAAGTGCGAATTGTTCCATAAAAAAAGGCCAGGTCAAGCACGGTCAGAAAAGTGGCATAAACGGACTTACCAGTTCATCCTGCGTACTGGCCAAAGCCCTTTCTTCGCGTGCTCGCTCCAGCGATCCTTGGGGCTTGAGAATACCTACGCGTTTCTCGCGAACTGAAAGTAACAATGTTCGAAATAAATTAATAAATATTATTAGCAACAAATTTGATATCACTGTGTCAGTAGAGCTTGTTTCTGCCAAGTTGAATGTCAGAAAGAGAGTCTTTGGAGAGAGGAAGACAATCCGACAAAAAAATGAATGAGATTACTGTGGAATTCGATTTGGTACAAGATTTGATAAAAAGAAGAATTCTCAAATAGAGTTAAGATAAACCTTTCTCCCTGAAGTCGGCTTCGGAGATGACGATCGGCGGCGGCGGCTGCGCCTGGTCGTCGTCGCTGTCGCCCTCGTCGTCGGCGGTGTCGGCGCCGGCGCCGCCCGCCCTGCGCGCCTGCGTGGCGGCAGACAGCTCGGCCAGCAGCGCCGACAGCTGCTCGCCGCCCACGAACGACGCCTCCAGGGTCACGAGGTTTTCCTCTTCTCTGAATAGACGACCGAATTCATTTTATCTTGTCATGTGGGTCTTGCGTAGTAATGATAGAAACGCTTAGTCCACATTAATTTTATTGTAGAAGGTATAACAAAATAGGGAAAAGGTGAAGGAAAAGGAAAAGAAGGGAAGGGCCCAAAAGGGTCTGTGTTCGTATGAAATATATTGCTGCTTTATAAGCACTTAGGTTTACGTGATTGAAGGACACGTCGTTTCTCCTTGAGAATTTTGATGGGACTGACCAGGGATCGAAGCAAACGAAGAATGACGAAGAAAAAGAATTAGAGAACGATTCAAAATTTTAAAAGCAAGTGGCCAGGAACCATAGAAGAGGGTGATAAAAAAGTGGGATGACGATAAAAGAGGTCGTATTGTCACAATCTTACCGACTCGAGTGATTTTTTTTATTAAAAAATATCGCTTGAGTGCACATTTGTAAGTTGTCAATATTTTCGTTTACGAGCAAATGTCACTCAACGCTTGCTATGGCTGAGGATAGTTATTTTAGGCTGGTTTCAGTGGAGTGCGGATTTATCTGAGGACCATCCGCGCGGAGTAACACGTGTGGCGTTAAAACATCGTTTTACAATGACGGGGATTGCTCCGTACGGAACACGCTCCGCGTGAACTCCGCACTAGCCACCCGTGCGTTCATTGTGGGCGACAGTCTTCCGTGAATATCCGCATTAAATTAAATACTCGATTCAGAGCCCTGTTGATTCGACGCATGCGGATGGTCCGTATGGACCGTACGTAAAGCTGTGGAACCAGCCTTATAATCAATCACATGCAGAATCTTGATCGCATGGTAACATATTATAAGACGCCGAATGGGCCGTTAAGAGGGAGCAGAGGAAAAATTCCTAATCTTCGATTTGATTTTAGAGGGGTATATCCACTTTAAAGTTAATAATAAAATATTGTATTAGTAAGTACACGATATATTCAAGCATAGATATTAATCAGAAACATAAAACAATAAAGTTTCCTCGATAGACAAAAATCACGAAATGACCTCTAATTTTCACATTTTTTCGATTTGTCCTCGAAATGCTACAGGTTATTAGGACAAAAACTAGATAAGTAATTATATTTATGCGTGATCGACAACTATCACTACGGATTTTTTTTGAATCCCTTTAGTTTTAGAGTTATTCCGCTAAAAGGATTTGGTACTTTTAATGCGCAAAATTTAACATCTCCTGTCGCATGTCACGCGAACTTCAGGCATATATTTGTTTCACAAATTTGGGCGGAGCCAACGTCAAAACTTTTTTGGCATGAGAGCTCTTAACATAGGAGAGATTGAGACGTATCTAGAGGTCTGAATATGTCATTTGGCCGATATGCAATTAAATACCGGACGCTTGTTAATACGGGCGTTAGAAACGTAGCTTATTAATAGTAAACCTTACGATCAATCCTAAGGCATTAACACCGCAATAGGAAATGATGGACATTGTATGCAATTATAATTTCATACCACCTTGTGACAAATCTGACCCCTCTTTACTAGCCACTTACTTTTAAAATTTTGAATCGGTCTCGAATTCCCTTTTCCTCCACTATTCTTACATTCGTTCCGTCGTCACTCCCATCAAAATTCTCAAAACGAGAGTAATTAATTGTAATTCTTTATATTATTTTATTTGTTATAGTAGACTATCATATATATCTATCATATAGATCTATCATATATGTATGATAGATCATCGAGTATAGATGTTTGCTGTTTTTTCCACACCACCGAATGGAACAGCCCTCCATTGTTAGAAATATTATCTTTATTACAATAAATACAGAATATTTTTGTAATATACGGAGACATACACACAGGTCAGGTGTTGGTGCTGCACTATTTCAGCTTTGTAATTTGTGATTTCAGCGTAAACGAGACTTGATATTTAAAAGAGATAATAAGGCTTATTTGCCTGATCAGTTGCCAGGGATGGATGGCCCATATTACGTCTCTATTTCTGGTTATATACTCGATGTAATCTATTCATTTCCCTTTTTAAAATAAATTATGCGGCTCCAGCCTTCTGCATTCTCATTTCGCTAAGGTTAGGCGACATATTTTTTTTGTAGCAGTAGAACTCCTTGTGAAAGTGTTCGTCTAAGGTAGTACTGCCACCTTGGTAGGGTAGTTCTGCCGCCAAGCAGTAATGTCAGCATTACTGCGTTCCGATTTTAAAGGGTAGGGTTGACAGGCACATGGGACTTGTCAACTTATGTCTCAGGGTGTAGGGCGCTGTGGTAGTGCACCTTAGATCTTTGCAAATTAAAGCTCTGAGTGGCACTGCAACTGTTATGGACAGGCGTGTAGCTTACCATCACGCGCACGACTTGTTCGTCCCGTCACTTGATGTTATAAAAAAAAAAAATCTTTAAACTAAACTACTTACCTATAAGTAAGATGTTCAGGGCGTAAATGGGCGAGCTTCTTAGCGAGCTGAATGAGGCGGTACGCGCGAACCTTGTGTTCCAGTTCTGGCTCGTTACTCAAACAGGTTGAAGACACCTCGCAAGGCGACCTGGAACACGGATACGAGTCAGCGTGATACCACGGTCTAGGCGGTTTTCCACCGGCGAGGCGAGACGAGGATTGAAATTTGCATAACAAAATTTCAATTCTCTCCTAGCCTATCTTCGGTTGAAATGGTCTGGATTGACGAGGATGGGCGAGGTGAGAATTGAAATATTTATTGATGTAATATTGAACCGTATTGCTGCCAACATAGAGTTAATTTAACTCTGCAACGGAAACACGATTTCTCACGCGAGATCGCGATGGCTTTTCATATCAATAGCGAGATTGTGGGGCACTGTTATTTGAGATTTAAAAAAATACGTTTCATCTGATTCTTCTTCCATCAACAAATTTAATAATAACAATTTAATGAACAGCACTGAATCTTCAAGATCCACAATCACAGCGCGAGCTCGCGATTGTGCGCGCAAGTTAGCTATTAATGGCATTTTTGGTGGAAATAGACTGGGGAGATTTCAACTCTCGTCTCTCCTCGTCTCGTCTCGCCTCGTCGTGCAGGTGGAAAACCACCTTTACGTTGACAATCCAGTAGCTATTGTGAGGTGATAAGAATATTGTCCTTAAATTGACTGGTGATATGCTTTTAGGCACATGTTCCAGAAGAAATTAACCTGGTACTGTAAAATTCCTTGTTCCTAAAAAAAATTGAGGACACGGTCGCATGACAGGAGGGAAAGCCACCAATCGCAGATCACTGTATCGTATATAATGTTTAAATGATACGTTAGAAACAAGTTTTACGACTATTTATTACAGGCACTCACTCGTTGTCAGGAAGGTCATCTGGCAGCCTTCCACCATAAGTGTCCCAGGCAGCGTGGTCTGCGAAGCGCAGGCCTTTTAGTGCTTCCTCCAGTGGCAGAAAACCGTGCAGCTCCTCTTCTTCGGGAAGGGGTACCGTCTCATCTAAACAATACGATTGATATTCAGTACTAAGTAGTCGTGCCTTTGTATTGGTATGCACTAAGTTTTTAACCGACTTCAAAAAAGGAGGAGGTTCTCGACTGTATTTTTTTTTTGCGTGTAAAATTAGCGATTACTTCTGTCATTTGTGAACCGATTTCAATGGTTATTTTTTAATTGGAAAGGGGGTATTTCATTCAAGGACTCGAGGATGGCAAATTATTAATACTTTCCGTTAACCGCTTTCAATAAAACTTGGCAAATAGATGTAATTCCAATGAAAATTAAATGTTATTTTGACCTAGACCTGATCTGATGGTGGAAATGGCAGACCAGTGAAAGAAACTCCTCAAGAGTGTACATCTGCTACCTTGTGTATGGGCTCACATGATTTGTTTTATCGAAGATTTGTACATGCGTTTCAGGGGGTCAGTATTACTCGATCAAATTAAAAAACGATGCGAATGTATTAAACAGCAGTTGTAGACCCCCAGTCACCGTTGAGCGAACGCGGAGAAGCAAGCCGCGGCCTGTACGTACACTTGTTGGCGAGCAGCTGCTGCGCGCAGGGCGCGAGGCGGTTGAGCGCGTGCGCCAGCGCCGCCCACAGCTGCGGCCGCGCCGCCCACGCCGCGCTCAGCAGCACCTGGTCGTGCGTCGACAGCCACTGCAGCCACACCAGCACTGCCACGGAATGCCGTTGAGCAATGGAGTAACACTTAATCTATTCGTTTCTTACTTTGCCGGGAAAACAGGAATAGAGGGTATCGATAAAAGCCAGCAAGAGGTTAAGGATACCACGATTATAGTTTACAGTTGAATGTTGAGAAATGTACAGTTGTGTCTTTTTCTCTTGTTCGCAAACAGGTAACTAGTAATTATAAAATAAATGATACTCGGATTAGTCGAGCTTAATCAGTCAAAGACTTAGGCACATGGTTGGACACTGAGCTCACTTTCCGAGAACATAGCACAAAAATTTGTAAATCTTCCCGCAAGTGTTTCGTCTTAAGACAATCAAAGTCTTTAAAAACCAACGTAACGTCGTGTCTTTTGTAGAACTCTTTTGTTCGAAGCAAATTGGAATGTAACGCTACCATTTGGAACTCCGTCCATCACAACCACACACAAACATTAGAGAAAATTTAGAAGACATTTGCTTGAAACTTATACAAGAAGATGTACGGATATTACCCCTTACTTTATCCCACAGCATTTATTTTAGGCATGGTAAATTATAGAATGCTAGAAGTGAGACGCAATCTGGCTCTGGTAACTTATGTGTTTCGTCTGGTACGGGGAATAATATACAACCCATTTTTGTTGTCCAAGGTAGGCTTTATGGTACCTAGAACTAATCTGGTGCAACTTCATAGAATGAGATTATTTGCAGTACCTAGCACACGATGTAGAGTGAGTGAGATAGCCCTC